AAAGCTGGACAGTGAATAAGATCGTAGAAGAATTGATGCCTTTGAATTGTGGTGTTGGAGGAGAATACTAACAGTGCTATGGGTTGCCAAAAGAACCAATAGCTCTGTTCTGGAAGAATTGCAGCCAGAGTGCTCCTTGGAGGTCAGGATGGTTAAACTTCGTCTCTCATACTTTGGACATATTGTCAGGAGGGAACAGTCGCTAGAGAAGGATTTCATGCTTGGTAAGATGGAGTGTCAGAGAAAAAGAGGAAGACTCCCAACGAGATGGACTGGCCAGGTGGCATCATTGATGGACTCAAGTGTGGCAGCGGTAGTGAGGTTGGCTCAGGATCGGACATTGTTTCGTTCTGCTGTGCATGGGGTTGCTATGAGTCGGTTCCGACTCAATGGCACCTGACAACGACAACAACATAGTGCCAGAAGATGAGCCCCTCAGGTTGGAAGTCACTCAAAATACAACTGGGGAAGAGCTGCTTCCTCAAAGTAGAGCTGACTGTGATGATGCGAATGGAGTATAGCTTTTGAGACCTTCATTTGCTGATGGGGCACAACTGAAAATGAGAAACAGCTGCAAACATCCACTAATAATCAGAATATGTAATTTACAAAGTATGAATTTAGGAAAATTGTTTAAGTTGTAAAAAATGAAATGGAACATAAAACATGGATCTCCTAGGCATTAGTGAGCTGAAACGGACACGTACTGGCCATTTGGAATCTGACAATCACATGGTTTACTGCTGGGAATAACAAATTGAAGAGGAATGGTGTCGCTTTCATTGTTAAAAAGAACATTTCAAGATCTGTCTTGAAGTACAATGCTGTCTGTTATAGGATAATATCCATACATTTATTAAGGAAGACCATTTATTATCATTATTATCCAAACTTCTGTATCAAACACTAAAGCCAGTGAGGATGAAAATGAAAACTTCTACCAACTTCTTCAGGAGGGCAGTGGCACCATAGGATAAACAATGGACAGTGAACCACAAGGTCTGCAAATGTTCCGTGGGAGAAATATAAGGCTTTATGTTCCTGAAAAGATTTAAAAGCCTCAGAAATCCTATATAGGGTTGCTATGAGTCAGAAAAAACAATAAGGCACTTAACGACACCAACCAACTTCTTCAGTCTGAACTTGATCAAACACGTAATCAAGACATATTAACAATTGGTGATGACTGGCATGAAAAGGTTGAAAACAAAGAGAATGGATCAGTAGTTCAAAAATATGGTCTTGGTGACAGAAATGATGCTTGAGATTGCATGACAGATTTTTGCAAAATCAATGATTTGTTCATTGCAAATACCTTCTTTAAACAACACAAATGGAGACTATACACATGGAGTCCACCACATGGAATACACAGGAATCAAACTGACTACACTTGTGGGAAGAGGTGATGGAAAAGCTCTGTATCATCAGTCAAAACAAGGCCAGGGGCAGATTGTGGAACAGACCATCAATTGCTCATATGCAAGTTCAAGCTGAAGCTGAAAAAATTTAAAATTAAAACAAGTGCCAAAATATGATCTTGAACATCTCCCATTTGAATACAGAGATCATCTCAAGAACAGAAGTGATGCACTAGACACTAATGGCCAAAGATGAAAGACGTTTTGGGATGACATCAAGAA